AACTGTCTGAGCCCCCAAGGCCTGGAACAAACTCCCCCCAGAGGTGGTGCTAGCACCTACTCTGGATACTTTCAAGAAACATTTGGATGTTTATCTTGCTGGTATCCTTTGACCCTTGCTGATGTCCTGCCCCTTGGGCAGGGAGCTGGACCCAATGATCTTACAAGGTCCCTTCCAGCCCCAATGTCTATGACATCTATGAAATATTATGTAAATATACTTTTAGCATTTTAAAAGTAAATTGTAAATTTAAAAGTAAATTGTATGCAAGGAAATCTAAAATGGCACTGAAACTGAGTTTTCAGATTTGCATTCAAGTTACTCACTGGTCTCTGCCTTATATTAGAATAAAATGTATACTTTGCTTCAAAATCACTTTACTATAGATAAAATTAATTTTTTATCTGTGTTGGTGAACTGTATATGCACATTCTTTATTCCACCATCCTATTCAAAATTAATAGATAATATCTCCAATTTGTAAAACTCATTATACCATCTAAACCAGAATCATTCATGATTCTATATCATTTCAGAACTAAAGTAGACCAATTTATTCAACTATTTTAAATAAGCATACAATATATTAAAAATAATAGCCTTACTCTGAAGCACAACTGGATTTAAAATATAATATATTTATTGTTTAATCATTTTAAAGATGAAGAATAAAAGTATAACAATGGTTTGATGGGACAATACCTTTCTTTCACCAAATTTCTGTTGATATGAACTATATAAGCATAAACAGTAAAGTATTGTAAGAATTTTATAGGTATATTGTGCAAATCATGTGTACAAACATACCTTTTTCCCAGGAGGTCCAGAAGCTCCATTTTCTCCTCTGACACCCAAGTCACCCTGCAAGGTAAATTGCAAGCTTAGAGGTTTCAAAGAATCTGAAGTTTGCCTAGCTACCTATCAAAGGAATTTGTTATTTAAACAAACAGTTTCTTTTTCATGTATATAATTTTGCTTTTAGTAGCTTTACACAATAATACTGCAGGCAGATGTTAAGCCAGGGGTGTGATTGAAGTCTGAGCTTTTTTTTATGTCCCATTATTGGTGTGGCAGAAAGCCACCTTGGTTCCTCCCCAAAAATCTCTGCCCTGTGACACTGTGATTAAAATCTCTGTGCTGCGACCATTTGATTCGGATGGGCCCAGCACACAGGAGACCACACCCTCAGCCTGTCCCTTTAGGTAACTTGAGCTGGCTGCATTCCTGAGGGAGGGGGCAAACCTGCTCCCTCTGCCTACGTGACTTGCATCACCTACCTGGGTTTCTACCTGGTGGGTTGGAATCTGCCCGGCAACTAGTGATGTATTTCAAATGGGTTGGCTGACAGCCAACTGGAGCTGGCCTCCACTGGACCAGGTGAATGAGGTCAAAGGGGCTATATAAGTTAGGACTGCCCGGAAGGCGGTCTCGTCTGCCATGTGGTGGAGCTGAAGCCTTGGGGGGGAGTTCAGAGAAGTTGCACCATCTAAAAGTAGCTTCTCCCCCAAAAACTCATGAACAAGGAACAGCCGGACACTAGAAAGGATCTCACCAGCCTCTGGATGAAGCGTGTGAGTAAGCTACTCGAGATCTGATAGATATCTAGCTGGCAGTAACTCAGATGTGTGATCAAAAGGCTACCACAGCCAGACTGTTTGCTCTTTAGGATTTCTAAGATATTGCTCAATCGTGTACCCTGTTTTCACCCTACCCCTGTACTCAATAAAGTCCTCTTTTGTGACTGGTGTGGGAGACTTATTGAGGGGTGGGTCTAAATTATGCCTA